AATGATAAGAAGACATAGGGATAAGATGGCCACGTGCCTGGAGTGATGCATCCACAAGCCAAGGGACACCAAAGATGGCTGACAAACACTAAGAGCTGGACAAGGCAAAGAAACATTCTCCTTTAGAGTCATCAGAGAGAGCATTGTCCTTGATTTTGGACTTCTGGCCTCCAGAGCAGTGAGACAATCAATTTCAATTGTTTAGGACACCCCGTTTGGGGGTTCTTAGTTAACAGCAGCCCTAGGGAACTAATACAGGCAACTTGTGTATCTCATTAGACACTTTCCTTATTGCACTGAACTTTTATTTACTTGCCTGTCTCCTCAACCTGACTGCTAATTTATCTCTGCATCCCCAGTGTCTGGTCTCTGCTGGTTGGTGATCGATAGTTGCTCCTCAAACTGAATTAAGGTTCCTTTGCCCTACACGCTGAGTCAGTGCTTGTGTGATTGCATGTGTGTAGCTGCTTTGTTGGTCCAGTGACATTACATCAGCAGGAGATCAAGGATGAGCTATTTTTTTCAGCTCCCGTATCCTGTGAATTAGAGCCTGAAATAAGAAAGACGTGGTGGTCAGCCCACCAGGCCTGCTCTCTCCTGAGTTTTTGACCCAGGAATCTTCTCCTCTCAAGCTCAACTGGCTGCTGCCTTAGCCACGTGGAGCCTTCTAACCATTCCACCCCAACTGGCCTCACCATCCGCAATTCTTTTTCCCCTTAAGTCAGCCAAGAAAAACTGAAATGTGCAAAAGTAACTTTTGTCAAAAGAAAAAAGAAGCCAAGGGGGTAAAAATAGTGTATCAAAGCATAGATGCAGGCAGGTCACATGGCCCAGAATTCTATCATCACATCATGCCAGACCACACACAGGACACTCAGCTCCCACTGCCCAGGCTCACCTGGGACCCAGGTAGAATATTTGGCCAAGCTGCTCATCTTTCTGGCTCAAGAAAAAGTTATGTCCTTTCGGCTGCCAAGTCTCATGGGATTCTCAGACCATTCCAAAACCTGCCTTCTTGTTCTCTATCTGGTTGCCTCTCCCTAGCCATCCCCTCTGGCTTCAGACCTCCTTGTAGAGCACTCTGCCACTGTCCTGTACCCTCCGGGTCGCTCTGAACTCTGCCTTGCTCTCTGCTTTGCTGAGTGTGGAAGGTACCCCACCCCAATCTAACTTTAGACAGTCCCTGCCTTTTACCACTCAACAGTCTCAGCCACATCAGCTCCAGAGGGTCTTCCTCTCTATTGCCTTCTCCACCCAACTCCCACCCCATCTTCAGTAGGTGCCTGTCACATGCCCACCAAGGTATATCAAGATGGTTTTACCCTCAAATTGTCTATTTGCTTTCTAAGTAAAGAAAGTGACCTTATTTATTTATTCAACAAATATTTGCTGACTACTATTATAAGTTGACTTATGTCCACCCAAGCAATGTTGAAGTTCCAACCCCAGGTACTTGAGAATATGTCCTTATTTGCAGATGATCAAGTTAAAATGAGGTTACTGTGGTGGGCCTTAATCCAATATGACTGATATCCTTATAAAAAGGGGAAATTTGGGCACAGATAGAGAAGAAAGGCAATGTGAAGACATAGGGAGAATGCCACTTACAAGTCATGAACCACCTGAGGCTACCAGAAGCCAGGAGAGAGGCCTGGAATAGATTCTTCTTCATTGCCCTAAGAAAGAATTAACCCTGTCAACACCTTGATTTCAGACTTGTAGTCTCCAGTACTGTGAGACAATAAACTTTTGTTGTGTAAACCATCCATTTTGTTATGGTCTTTTGTTATGGAAGCTCTGGCACACTAATACAAAAATCAGAGTAGGCATCAAGTACCTTCATTCTAGGATCAAAACTTCATGATTTCATAGAGCTCACACTCTAGAAGTAGACAACAAACAAAATGAGCAAAGTATGTAAAGTAGTATGTGACCATAAGGGCATGGAGAAAACTAAAGCTGAGACAGGGGTTAGGGAGTGTAGGGGTATGAAGGAGGCTGCAATTTAAAATCGAATGGTCAGGGGAAACCATTCAAAAGAGGTTACATTTGAGCAAAGACCTGAAAGAGGTGAAGGAAGGAGCCAAAGAGATATCCATGGACCGTGTGGTTTTAATGGAGGAAACAGCACGTGTATCGAGTGCCTTTTGTATGCCACATGTCCAGCTGGGGACCAGGCAGGGTTGGTGGGAGATTATAGGAAAGTTGTCATGACAGAACAGTCCCTTGGCCTTTACCTCATAGCTCTAAGAGCCTCAAATGCAAATGCTGACATCATCTCCCATGAGATTATGCACAGAGATTGGCAGGCTTGAAAAAAGCATCTTCACTAAGAGTAATTTTTTAATAGATCTGTAACTGTCTTGTGAATAGCATACGTTTCATTTTTGTGCAAGAGTTGGGAAAGTGTTAACTCATTCTATTCATCCTTTGAAGTATGCTGTGATTTTTATAACTGTGTTCTGTCATTCCTTCCATTTTTAATCAATAACAGAGTGTTTGGAAATGGAAGAGGCCTCTGAAACTCTAAGAGACCCTGACACACCAGGTCCAGGTCCAGGTTCTGACCACTCAAGAAAAATAAGACACAACCTCCCCCTGGAAAGCATGGGACCTAGGCAGGAAAGAGAAGTATATAAACAAACCATTTCAAAATACTGTGAATGCTCTCATGGAATATATATAAGAGGCCTATGGAGGACTTTTCAACATTCCAAATTGTTTTCTTCATTACTAGGGAATCCTGAAGCAAAATTTCATAACACACTAGGTAAAATCTTACATTAGTTGCTTGGCCAGACATGGATTTAAAGCACGCCTCAATCTCTGCTGGGTTCACTCCTCTTTAGTTGACAGGGTCTTCTCTGACCATGGCCCTTTGGAGTCGCCATCCAAAAAATACGTAAGGAATCTTTAGACAAAGGGAGATCCAAAGTCATACAGACACGCCATCTAACATGTCCTAACTTCTCCAGTATTTTCCAGTTTCTTTCTCATGTTGTCTCCAAAGAGTAGGTCTCCCCAGTCTTGTCCAGCTTCCCCCTTTGACCTTACTCTCTCTGCTTTTTGCCTATAACTTGGCTCCTGATTTTACTGACAAGGTTATCAAGCCATACCCATCATCTGCCTGCACTTCTTTACCATCCTCTTCTCCCTGACTTACCCTTCTTGTTTCTTTCCATCTCCAGCCCTCTGGGAAAACTCTATACCAAGCTCAGTATTAATGAGTTTTTGTTCATTGCCAGCTTTTTTTTTCTCCTAGTTGCTGTATGTGGCATCAAGGACCACCTTCTCCTGAGATGTTTTCCTCCTTTGACTTTCCATATTGCTCCCAATCCCAGTTCCTCTGTCTCAGACCATTCTTCCTCTCCTTCATTGCCTTTCTGCTTCATTTTTCCCCTTAAACATGGGTATTCCCCCAAACTCAGGCCCTTCTTAATCTACAACTCCTCTTCATTGAAAATTTAACTCATTCCCATGGCTTCCACCCTTTGTTTTTTATCACTTGCTCCAAAGTCAGAAGGGGAAAGCTCCTAGCGTGTTCAGACAAACCAAGTATCCACCCATATTCTTTTTATTTTATATCTCTATTGCCTCAGATTCAATATCTCTCTATCTGAACCCAATTCCTTATACTTCAAACTGCCCCCATTCCTGACTTCTTGACTCCTAGTCATGGTGGCATCATCCTCCTCTTCATCCTGACCTGAAATTTCATAGAAACATTTGATCTTTCACCTCTCCTAACTTCCTCATGTTCAGTCAGGTAATTCTTTCCTCAAAATTTCTCTCTTAATAGAATAAATGGGTATGCATTCTCACTGCCACTGTCCTCCCTCACTGGGACTAGGCAAATAGCCACCACACACACCTTGTCCCTCCTGCCATGGGACCCTTCACACAAAGACTCTTCTTCCTTCCCACTCTGCTCTATCGCCCTTCTGTTCACAGCCCTAACATCGCTTCCTCTGGGGAGCATTGCTCGCCTTCTGTGACCCTGTGAAATCCACATCTGTTATTTGAGTTCATAGTCCCACATTCCCCTCCAAGACTTACCATACTTGAACTTATACATTTTTTGTATGATGATTTGATTAACGTTTGCCTCTTGTACCAGCCGTCAACTCCAGGAGGTTGGAATCAGGTCTGTCTTTCCTCGTCATTCTATTTTCCAGCCTCTGGCATGGCACTTAAGACATAACAGATTCTCAATAAATATTTGTTTTGAATGAATGGCTCTTCCTATGTCATTCTCTACAAGAGATTGCCCTTTGCAAAATGGCCCTAAGATTTCTGGTCCCATATGCTGCTCCTCCATCAAAAGATAAACTCTGTTTCCCCTCCCCTTGCACTTGGATGACACTTTGCAACTACCTTGAAGAACAGAATCTGCTGAGAAATGCTGCATAACTTTTAAAGCTAAGCTAGAAAAGGCTCCCTGGCTATCTTGGGACACTAATCCTTGGAACCCAGCCCCCATGTTACGAGGAAGCCCAGCCTACATGGAGAGGCCATGAGTACGTGTGTTCTGGCAGACAGAGACAGCTAAGATCTTAGCTGACAGCCAGTATCCACTGCAGACATCTGAGTAAACAAGCCTTCCGATGATTCCAGCCCCAGCCATCAAGTCACCACCACTTTTCAGCTTCCAGCTGAGGCCCCAGACATTAGGAAGCAGAGAGCCCATTCCTGCTATACCCGGAACAAATCCCTGACACATTGACTCTGTGAGCATAACTGGTTGCTTTATCCAGTATGTTTGGGGATGATCTGTTACACTACAAGAGATGACCAACCTGACCACTGCCTTATTCACACCTCCGACACCTCCTGCTGCCTCTGAGACACAGTGTGAGATCCTTGGTTTGGCCTTCAAAGACCTCAAACATCTGGTTTCGAGCTGTTTGTCTCCATTTCTTACGCTCTGGAGGAGACGTCTCCTCCTGCCAAACTGGCTTACTCACGGCATCACCAAGATTCTCTGTTCTTTCTTGGGGCCCTTTGACCTCACTGTTATCTGTAACTGGAATGGCCTCACCATGCAGGTAAGCAATGCTGTCATGTTCCTTAGAATTTAAAGTTACCATAAGCTATTGACATCATTTTCTAAATGAAAAATCAAGGTCATGATCAACTTTTTTATGATTTGTGCATTTACTCACTTGAAAAATTATAAAAGAAATTGAAACTTAAATCCATTTAGTTACATATTTAATCAAAAGCCTTCCCTGCAAAGTATAAGATATAAAACCTTAAAGTAGGTGCCATTACAACACCCATTTTATAGATGAGGGAATTGGTATTTACAAAGAGTAAGTAAATTGCCTGCAGTCATATACTTGATATTTGGTAGAACTGGGATTTAAACCTGGATCCTCTAAACCGTGACTCAATTACTGTTCACCTGGCAATTAAGCATGTATTCTCTTGTATTTTGTTTTCATATTTCATGTCTTCCTTTTACAGATCATTTATTGAAAAAATACATGCACATGATAATGAAAATATAAAATAGCATAAAAGGCATGCAATATAAGAGTAGATCTCTGTCCAAATTCAGGCTCCATTTTCCTTCTCCAGAAGCAACCATTGTTCTTTCGTATATTTCCAGAAATATTATGTGCACCTACATGCATCCTTCTGTTCTACAAAAGGAGCATAATATTTACAATGCTTTTTTCTTTACACTGTCTCCTGACAGCCACTCCACATATAGAGCTCCTTATACTCTTCTTCCTGACTTTATAACATTCCATGGCAAGACCGTGTCATGGCTTTTTCAACAAGTCCCTTGTTAACGATCTTATAGCTGCCAGAAGCTATTGAGAGAGAGAGAGATTGGGTGGAAAACTACAGTAAAATGAGAAGGGACAGGGGAGACAAGTAGTCCTGAGGGAGGAAGTGCCTGATTCCCAGGTAAATCGCAAAGAGAAAGAAAGCCTGGTCAAAGAATAGCAGTGAAAACAGAGGAGGCTCTGAATACATTGTGTAAAAGTGGGTCCAAGAAGACGTGGGGGTGCGATTCACCACGACAGGCTCCGTGGGGTGAGAATTCGCCTTCTCACATCCTCTTTCCTGATGATTTCATCATCATCGGTGCTCATGCTCTGCCTTCTTTTGCCAACCCTATCATTATAAAAAAGAATACCCCACCCAAAAGAAAACAAACATGTTACTATTTATTCATGCAGGAAGGCCCACTGGACACAATAGACAGCAGCACCAGCCCTAATTAAGTGAAATGGGGCAGGTGTAATTCAAACTGCCCCAGGAAAATATAATCTCCCACCAAAAAAAAAAAAAAATTCCCACCGTTGAGACCACGGGGAAATCAGACCAGCCTCCCTCCCAGGTTCCCAAGCAGAAAGGCTGGACTCGGGGCAGCAAGACAAGAGAAGGTCGAATTCTCGCCAGCAGCCTCCTCCCTCCCCTCCTAACTTGGGGCACCCTCCTCATGCCCCCACCCCTCTGAGCTTGTTAACTGACATATCAGAGCTGCTCCTTTTGTGGGCTGGATTGTTTAGCTAATTCGCCCATGGAAAATGGTTCGGTTCAGATTCCAGGCTGAGGCAACCAGACACCCACTGTAAATCCAAGCTTCGGGATTGTATCTCTTTCACCACCTCCAGACACATAAACCACGTCCCTCCTCTGCCCCACGCAGCTTTCTTCCCACCCCAGGAAGGACCTCAGGGTGTTCCAAGGTAGACCCTCCACTTACAGCAGATCCAAAACGAAGAGATAGGGAGCGGGTAATGGAGAACCTTTCAGCTGGCCTCCTCTAAATTTAGACCTAGGTCCAAAGTCAGAAGCGCGCTTGCCCTGAGGATGCTCCCCTGAGTACCAGTGAAGAGCACAGGAGCCAAATGAACACCTGGCTGCATTCTCCAGACCGCCCTCACCAACTGTAGATGGGCTCTAGAGTCAGACCTTCCCTGGCTCACACCCCAATTGCATGGGTTTGGGTAAATTGCTTAACTTCTGCCTTCATTTCCCAATCTGTAAAATGGGAGATAATTCCTCTCCTCCCTCCCCCATAACATTATTGAAACTCATGTAAAGCTCTTGGCACATAGTAGGGGCTCCATAAATGTGAATTTGTTCCCTTCTGCCAGAGAAAAGAGTCTTTACCCACCCACTTGGGCCTCACTCCGGTCCTGCCTTCCACAGTCCAGTGTAAAAGTGGATTTTTACCGACGGTGATTGATGGGTTCCCCACCTGCTCAAAACTGTCCCCACCACCCTCATGGCAGCTGTCTGAAACACCCCATTCACAAGTCATTTTACTAGGTGGGAGGGCTTTGGGAATCTATTAGCTGCAATGGCTGTAAGTCTTAGTCACTCTCATTTACAGAAGGAGACCTTACTGTGGGATTTCAAATGCTCTGAAAACCCCAGTCTACCCCAAGAGCAAAGCCACACGGTGACTGACACCATCCTTGCCCTGCCCCAGCGGAGCCACTGCCTGACCCCGGGGAGGCTGAGAACGGCTCTTCCCTCCGCCCTCACTCCCATTCCTCTCCTGTCCAGGTGGAGCCTGTCCCATTCCCTTGACCTTGCCGCCGAGCTCTAGTCTCAGACCAGCCGTTTCATCACCTCTGGGTCTCTCCTCTGAACCCTCTCCAGGTTCCCCATGTCCCTCTCAAGCTGCCTGTCAATCAACACTGTTACTAAGTTCCAGCTCTGTTCAAATGACTGTACTTAGAGCTGAACAAAAAAAAAACTGGAGCCAGAGTCAAGCCAGGGTGGATGGAGTACCCTGGGGAGATGATCTCATGGGCTCTTCCTCCATGGAGTATTTTTAGGCACCCCATCCTTCCCCCCGCCCCACTCAGTTTCCATAGACTTCCAGTACAATCCAGAACTCCCTGAAATCTCTAAAGCTGCTGCAACTCTTCTCATTTGCAAAAGTTGATGGGGTGGGAATTTCAACTACCCTTCCAAACATCCAACTCCCGGGTTGATTTTTTAAAAATTTCTACCCTGCTTCTTTTCAGAAAATAAGAACTGACTCTTGTTCTCAAATATCAAGGAACTCCAACCATCTCCCCCAAGGCAGGCAGTCCCATCTTTGTGGTTGGGGCCCCTGTTTATGAGGCTGTGATGTGGTTTTCTTTTTTGCTAGCCCAGTTACAAGTCACACAGCCTAACAACCTGTGAGCAGGCCTCCTGCAGGTGTGTGGAGAGCCCCAGGTCCCCTTGAAGAATTCTGAGTGGGCAGCATCAAGAAACCTCAGGCTCTAAGAAGCAGCAGTGTGTAGTGATGAGATCCTGAGTCTGTGTCCCAGGGTATCAGGGTCTCTGTCATGTAAATGTTGGACTTCCCTCTGGGAGTATAGGCTGCTTCCAAATTCCAGTTTTATCATTCCCAAGTCCTGATTAAATGCTAGGGGTGGATGGCAGAGCCCAGCTCAAAAGAGCGAGCCTCCATCTGAAGATGCAGGAAATACTGAAATCAATAAAGCCAGCAAAGCCAAATACGTATGACTGAAGCAGGTATTTAGACTTTTTTATTTAGAGTAGACAGGTAGATGGATGGGTGGGGGTACTAATGGATGAAGGGTGAATGAGGAACAATCTAAAGCAGTTGCTTAAATCCACCATTGTAACTGGCTTTGGTGTGCCCACCACACCAAAGTTGACTCAATCTTGCTTTCAATACCAGGAATGAACAGATACCTCTTTTCTCTTAATAAAGAATAAGATCCATCAACAGTTCTCATTGGGATCTGTTAGAAATTATTTAGTGTATCTGGCCAACTCTCTCCTCGCCCTCACATGTCAGATCAATTAGAGAGAGAGAAAAGGCAGATCAGGGTCATATGGTCACCTTTACTCTGCCTGCCTTTTTGGAAAAGCTGTTTAACTGCTCTGTCTTCTCTGCAGTACAATGTGAGAGCATTCTCCCTTCTTTTCTTTCTTTTCCCTTCTGTTTACTCCCAAAGAATTTGACCAGGGATTCACAAATGCATCCACAAGAATCCAAACACCTCTCAGGACCTTGACGTGGAAGAGATTCTGATGCTGCCAGACCAATGATCTGTCTCATCACCTCCAAGCTTTGGGCCATGTGTTGGATGGACAAGACCGCCTACCACTCAATGGATGTTAAGAAATGAAAAAAACCTTTACAACCTGGGATGAGAAGAGAGGGGGAGGAGACTGAGGAGGTGAGAAGGGTTCTGTGTCATTCCCACTTCACCCAACTCCAGTGAAGCAAGGGACCAGGAAGAGAGCTTCTCGATATGCACCAAATCGAAACCAGTGCTAGGCAAACAGCCTACACTCAATTAATACTTGTTGCTTTTTCCTGAATGATAAATTTCACTGAAGTCCAAGACAGGCTAGAGGGAGAGGAGGCCGAGCTTCACCCCAGGGCCCTGCATAGTCAGGTAGGATTTGAATTGGAGGCAAACCAGGGTCTCCTCCAGCTGCATGCAGGGCTCTGCACAGAGCACAGCTCAATAGTTGCAAATGACAGATTTATGGATCTCATCCATGTTGTTCTTCTTACACAGAGAAGCATCTGCCCGCATCCACAGACACCGTCTCCAGATCAAAGGTACCCCTGTGAGCAGTCCCCAACCCCCAGCTCCAAAAGGCTCTCTCCCACCTCGAAGTGCCCTCTCCAAGCACTTTGCTCAGAGCTCTTGGAAGACACTTATCTCCTCCAGTGCAGAGCAGGCAGGCACCAGTGGTGGCAGCCTTTTTGGTAGCCATCCAAAATGTAACTGCCTCCTGTGGCATTTGCAAAGTCAGAGGCACCCTGGCAGGGAGCCGGGACAGGCAGCTGAAAGTCGGTAGCTTCCAGGGGAAATGGTCAAGAAAACTGATTTGTGTAGCACACATGGAACAAGGGTTGCAAAACCTCTCTGGGACAAATTAGAGGGAGGACAGGCTACAGGTCCCAAAGACACATCATCCAGAGCAGAGAAACAATGTTTGGGGACTTGGCATGACCCATATTTTCCCAAATCAGGTACAACCCTGGAAGGCGGGATTACATGTAAATGTTGGAGTTCCCTCTGGGAGTATAGGCTGCTTCCAAATTCCAGTTTTATCATTCCCAAGTCCTGATTAAATGTTAGGGGTGGATGGCAGAGCCCAGCTCAAAAGAAAGAGCCTCTATCTGAAGATGCAGGAAATACTGAAATCAATAAAGCCAGCAAAGCCGAATACGTATGACTGAGGCAGGTAAACTGCAGAGGTCGGGCTCGCAGACTCCAGAGCCAGCCTGCCTTTTCCAAATCCCAGCTGCACTTCCCCTCCTCCACTGTGGCCTCGCTGTGCCTCAGGTTGCTCATCCGTAAAGTGGGGATAATTTTGTCGTATAGATGAAATAAGTTCAAATATGGGGTGGGCAAGCCTGAGTTAAATTACCAGGCATGATTACCTAAAAGATAAATCATAAGTAGCTATCCAAAATAACATTAAGGAAAACAAGTACAAATAAATAGTACAATAATTAATAAATAATTAAAAATACAAGAATAAACTGTTCCACCTATTCACAACTGTAAACCTACTTTTGCCCACCCCTGTAGGTAAACTGTTATGTAACACTGCTGTGTTGTTGTTGTTGTTGTCCAGACATATTGCCAAAACTGAAGAGGCCACAAGTAGAACTTGAACTTCAGTGTGGAGAGCTAAAAACGAAGTGCCAGGGAGGAGTGAGAAAGAAGAGTAGCTTAAGAGAGATGAGAATATTTCCAAGATTTGTTGATAAGTGAAAAAGAGCAAGGTGGAAAAGTATATATTTTATGATACTATCAGAGAAAATAAAATACAAGATTTAAACATAATACTTTTTTTTTTTGCAAGGAATGTCTGAAAGTATACACTAAAACTGGGGAGAAAAACTGGGGGAACAAAGCTGAGCAAGGAAAAGAGGAAGTTTGTCACTGTAAGTCATTTTATATTTTGTATATAACACTTTGCCATGGGTATACGACTTTTTTATTTAGAATAGACAGGTAGATGGATGGGTGGGGGGACTAATGGATGGAGGGTGAATGAGGAACAATCTAAAGCAATTGCTTAAATCCACCATTGTAGTTGGCTTTGGGGTGCCCACCACACCAAAGCTGACTCAATCTTGCTTTCAATACCAGGAATGAACAGATACCTCTTTTCTCTTAATAAAGAATAAGATCCATCAACAGTTCTCATTGGGATCTGTTAGAAATTATTTAGTGTATCTGGCCAACTCTCTCCTCGCCCTCACATGTCAGATCAATTAGAGAGAGAGAAAAGGCAGAGCAGGGTCATATGGTCACCTCAAAAGATATAGGAAGTAGAACCAGGGAGTGGAATAGGGACAGGACAGTGACTGTGAGCTCCCTCAGGGCCCGACCTTCATTCATTTCAACTTTGTGACAGACACTGAAGTTACAAGAAGTAGCTCCAGTGAAGCATCTTACTTAGAGATTTGGTTCCAAAGTCAGAGTCTCAGGCAACTGCCTCGTGCAGCCAAGGTAAGCTTTCAATTCCCTCCATTGCAGGGTACACACCACCTCTTCACAGGTCCAGCAAAGTCTGTGTTAAATCCAGTGTAGAAGGAGATCAGAGTTTCTTTGACTGTGCAGCAAGTGGAGTTTAAACAATGTCTAGAAACCGAAAGGGAAACACTAGAGCCATCCTTCACCTGGTGAGCTGCTTGTACTGAGGGAGGTACCTTAGGACAGACAATAGGACATGGTAGCAGAATGACAGCACCCCTCTCAGGTTCATGTCACCACATATGCCATTTTGACTTGCTCACTATTTCGCTCTTGCTCTCTGTTAATTAGAAAAGAGTATATTTGAATCCATATTATTTAATGCAACTCCATTTCAATGTTGTTCACAATGACTGAAAATGAGCATCTAACAGACAAAGAGGTAGATGACTCAGGGTCACCATCACCACAAAATAAAATAGTCAGGGGAGAAGAAAGAGGTACTAATATTGTGATTTACCTGCGATTCTCCTGTTGGAGGTCAGTTCAAGACAGAAGCATTGTAATCGGAACAGAAAATGACCAGTGAGACATCGTGTCCCTGTCACTAATTAGAATCCACCAAGTAAGTTCCTACTGACTATTTGAACTGCAGGACTTTAGGAAATTGGATAGAGTTGTCTCAAAGCCATTAATTTTCCTCCTGAAGCCCTTGAGGAGAATTGCAAGGGTAAGCATAGATTGAAAGGACAAAAGAAGCATTTACCAAGCACAAACAATGTGTCAAGCAGGACCCTGAGATCTGGGCAGAACCACAAATACAAGGCAAGGTCTCCAGCTTCCATGAGCCCATGGTCTCATTGAAATGACAGGGACTCTGAACCTCTTCCTTCTCAGCTCTCTTAGTCATAGGTCCTCCACATTGACTCGAGCCCTGTGCTTGCCCTGTGCTCTCTGATGCAAGTCGTGGCCTAGACTCCACCAGAACGCTACTGTGCTCTCCCTCCTGGCAAGAGCTCCCCAGAGCAACGCCCCGAATACCCTGCGGGGCTCTTCCCCCTCCTCAGGCGCTCTGTCCTGATTCTCATCCCCACCAGGGTGGAACAGGACCACGTTCCAGCTGGTTCTCAAAGCTGCCGTAGTTTGGCTTGTAATCCTGACCAGGCTCATGATGAGGGTTTGTGACTATATTTCAGATGTTAAAAGGCAGAGTAGATAGTGAACCTGAAAAAAAGCCACCAAGCTAAATGAAATGGTGGTACTAGTTGGAGTGTGGAAACGTAGGCAATATTACGTGGTAGAGAATAATGGGAGTCTTGGATTGAAATAGACCTGGGTTCAAATACCAATTCAACCAGAGCCTACCAATGGTGTGACTTTGGTCAAGTTGTTTAAATTTTTAAGCTTTAGCACAGCATGAATAATTTATAAAATGGGCATAATGGGTGAAAAGGTAACATAATAACATCTACCTTAAAGGGTCTGCTGAGAATAAAGGAGATCAAGCACGTAGGGCTTGGTACAGGACCAGCACTTAACAATAGTAATATTTGCAGGGGGTTTTTTCCTGAAATTAAATGAACTTCATAGGGTAAATATCAATTATACATTAATCGGCAGTTAAGGCTTTGATTTTAAGGATTTGGAATATTGAACACTCTTCTTAAAGATCCTAATCACAAATATTCTACAACATGGAGTTCATGTGAAAGTTTTTTTAAAATCATGGAATCTTCTGCGGTTTAAAAAAACAAACTTCTCATTTAATCTACCCTCTTAATTTCTTAATTTTTCAGAACAAAGGAGCTTGTCCAAAATTGCCAGAGGATTTGTAAGGCACAGATCCTACCCCCTCATCCAGTTCTCTGCTAAAGGAGAGAGATTAGAATAGCCTTATACCCGACACATCTTCAGGGCGAGAATATTTTCCTGGATTGATTATGAATCTGGCAAATGTGGAAATGCCCAAGTTTTTTTTGTTTGGTTGGTTTTTTAATCGAATTTGATGTCAAGTGAAACAATCAGGTGAAATATTGTGGGTCTGCCCCAGACCCCCTCCTTCCCTTGCTGGCTGCCATCAAAGTCAAAGGTATGTATTAATAAGCACTTACGCCCGACACTGCGCCGGCTTCTGTGCAGGGCCAATGCAAGATTCCCTGACCTCTGGGAGTGAACAAGCTCAGGCAAAGCCTTGCTGGGCTACACGTAGGCAGCCCGAGGGAGGAATAGAGGAGACAAAGGAGGGGCCCAGAGCCCAACACAGAGTACTGGAGTCTGAGAGTGTCGACCGTACCTGATAAGATCAAGCTGGGCTACAGCCTAGTAGGCTGCGTGGGGGTGAAGGTGAGTTTGCAAATTCATAGATTAGAGTCCCGTTTACACTTCTCCTTTAATGCTAATTATTTGTTGGTTTGAGTGAAATTTTCTCTGCTCTACCAAATGTATATCAAGTTTGAATTCAGGTTCAGCCTGACTCCCAGGGAGAAATATATCAAACCCTAAAACCACTTCATTTATTCATAGCCATTGATGGCAGCCCAATAGAGCTGAACCTTTTGAAAGCAACTGGCTATCAAAATGGCTTGCTTAAACAAAGCCACACTTCCCTGCCTTTACAGATTGTGCTTCTCTGCTGTAGATGAGGTACTCTACCTCCAGGGTTACATGTACAGGTCCAGGGTGAATTCATTAAGAGAGAGTTTGAAGAGACCAAATACAAATATAATTCCCCTTAAGGTGACCTGGAGGCCTTCCTGTAGGAGGTGTCATTTACCAGGAGCTAATTGCAACTCCCAAGCTCTGCCTTGTTTGTGAATATAATTGTGGAACTTATAATTGTGTGAATGCCTACTCAAAAAGTGTAGGCATTCCTTTGGGAAGAGAAAAGTAATGGCCTGGTATCTTACAACAGTCCGGAGTGCCTGAGAATTCTGGTTTTCCTCACCCTCTTTGATTTTTTTCACCTACACATTTTCTAGATCAATACCTAGAATTTCCAACTTATGGCATTTATTTTCTCTTCTCCATTTTAGGGGTGCGGGGCAGTCATGGTTCTTCCCTAGGCTTCTCATCCTCACTTTCCCAGCTTTGCAGGGCCAACTGTTTCCTTAAGTGAAAGCCCTTTGACAAATGTTACCCTGGAGCTCAGGCCAGAGAGCAAAGAAAAGGGAACCCCTAACCCAGTCCCTTCAGGAGGACGGCTGCTGTGAGCCCAGGGGATGCCCACTTCCCATCCCCACCCCCCCACCCCCAGGCCCTGGCTCCTTCTTTCCCCAGGGATGGGCCCCCAGCCTCCCTCCTGTCACCCGCCTGGGGGACTAAAACAAACAGTCCTTTGGAAATTCGGTGAAAGGAAATGGCTGAGTCAGGCCTTCTGTTTAAATAGTCCCCACCTGTTCTCTCAGCCCTTGCCTCCCCCCACTCCCACCCTGTGCTCCCCCTACTTCCTTTTCTCTTTTCTTTTCTTTTCCCCTTTGTTGCTCATTTTCAAAAGGGCAGAGTTGACAGCTCTTGCCTTGAGCAAAGCCAGCCAGGGAGCCAGCCAGGAGCAGCCTGGTGCTGCTGACCCAGCTCTCCCATGGCTGTCCCGCCCACCCGCAGCCTGCACGTGGCTTTGTCTGGTCCATGGGGGAGGAGGAGAGGGGGGACCCAGAGAACCCCACCTACGCAGTCCACTCCCCTCTTCTCTTGAACTCCTTTACCAATCCTCAGCCCTCAGGCACCCTCTGCCCAGCAGATCAGAGAAGGCTACAGAAGGAAAGAGAGCAAGGGGACAGAGGAGGTGACCCCTTACCAAGGGATGTGCCCTCTTGTTCACTGGAGGCCTCAGTGGCTCCATACACTTGGTGCTGCTTATGAAAATAACTTGTTGGCATTGGAGGAAATTAATTAGCTGCCCATATTCAAAATCGAGGAAAAGGAATTTTTCCAAAGTGACACAGGTTGCGATACATTCCCTCAGCCTACCATCTGCCCTCGAAGGCACACAGGAAACCTTTTAGAATTACCCTGTTTGCTTCAAGCCAGCTGTTGGCTCTATAAGTCAAAGACTTTGTTTTTGTTTTTGTTTTTATCCTCACCTGAGGACATTTTTTTTTCATTGCTTTTAGAGAGAGAGGAAGGGAGAGAAAGGGAGAGAAACATCAATTGGTTGCCTTCTTGAACACACCCCAACTTCCAACTGGGGATCGAACCCGCAACCTGCGTATGTGCCCCAGGTGTGTATATACACGTATGCACACACTCATACAGTCAGAACACAGAACATTCCCATTCTAACCAGTGTCTCTCATCTTGCCCTTCTATAGCCAAACCCACTTCTCTCCTACCCAACCCCCTCCTTAACCCCAGCAATCACCAATCTGCTCTCTATTTTTATTAATATACTTTATTTTTCAAAAACATTATATAAATGGAATCATAGTATGTAACCTTCTGAGATTGCC